AGGTTCATCCTGGAGAGGGTTAAAGTGGGTTGCTCCTTGGAGGCAAGGATTCTAAAGCTTTGTCTGACATATTTTGGACATGTTGCAAGGAGGGATCAGTCCCTGGAGAGGGACAGCATGCTTGGGAGGGTGGAGGGACAGCGGAGGAGGGGAAGACCCTCTATGAGGAGGATTGATTCAGTGACTGGGGTAATCGGAGTGGGTGTGTCAGAGACAGTGAGATTGGCACAGGACAGAGCAGGGTTTAGGGCTGTTGTACATAGAATAATACTATGAGTTGCAAGTGACTCGACAGCACATTAACAACAACAACAATTTTAATGAAAGTTTACAGAGACTTTGGACTTGCATTCATTAATTGTTGCACTTTTCTGCCTACCCAACCTCGCAGTTTGCTCTTCTCTTTGAAAAGGAAAAGAAAAATTCTTTCATTGTTATGCAATCCCTCCTTCCAAGTCCACTCCACTATGCTGCCTTCATTCTGAACTCCTGTCATGACAATAATACCTAATCATATATCCCTTTTAAATAGTTCTCTTCCTCATCTGTTTCAATGTAGTATACATAATTTATCCCATTTTTCTCAGTCTCCCCCAACCCCTCATCACTAGACCACCAGAAGGAGTTGTTAAGATTGAAGTTGTCAATGATTCCCTTTTATTTGGATCCATGATTAACATCTATGGTAACAACAATCAACAAATGAAAAGATGTGTTGCACTGGAAGAATTAACCTCTCCAAAGTGCTTAAGGAACAAGGATGTCAGTTTAAAGACTACTTGTTATTGTTAAGTGCTGTTAATTCATAGACGACTCGTAGTGATCCTATGAACGAAAGATCCAAACACTTGTATAACTTTTCATCATTTCTCCAAGTTCATAGAGTTTCTGGAGGCAAACCATTTCAGAAGTGGATGCCACTCCTGCTTCTAAGCTTGTTTTAATTGGGAGCTCCACCAAACACTGTCTACCATAGGTAACCATTACCGCATTTGACACATCAGTTTCACAGTGTTTAGCATCACAGCAACCACTTAAAAAGTCTAATGAAAAGACTGATTCAAGGGATGGTCTTTTCAGTTGCTTTCTATGTATGTGAAAGTTGGGTAATGAGAAGAATCAATGCCTTTCAATTGGGTGTTTGCGAAGTGTACTGAATATGGCCAAGGATCTCTGGTGGCAAGAAGCTGCGCTGCAATCCTGAATGTCCAAGGACTGCCACAACAAGTTTGTCTTGGAAGAAGTGCAATCTGGGTGCTTCTTGGAGGAAAAGATTATGAAACTTTGTCTCACATTCTTTGGGCATATTAGCAGGAGGGGTGAGTCCTTGGAAAAAGACATCATGCTGGGAAAGTTAGAGAGAGGGTCAGAGAAAGAGAGACAAGCCCTCAAGATGGATTGACACAGTTGCTCTAACAATGAATTTGAGCATAGCATAGATGGCAAGGATGGGACAGGAGAGGGCAAAGTTAAGATCTGTTTTTTATAGGGTCACTAAGAATTTTCAACAACCTTCATTATGCAGATGATACAATCTTGCTTGCTGAAACTGAGGAGAACCTGAAGCACTTGCTGCAGAATCTCAAGGACTGCAGCCTTCAATATGGATTGAAGCTCAACATAAAGAAGACAAAGATTCTCACCACTAGGCTACCTGGAGAAGAGACTGAGGTTGTTAACAATTACAGCTTGCTCGGCTGTTGATTGTGGAATCAACACTTTGGGCACCAGCAGTCAGGAAATCAAAAGGTGAATTGCTTTAGGTAAATCTGCTGTCAGGGATCTTTCCAGACAAGTGAGAAGCAACAATGTCAGTCTAGAGATTAAGGTGTGCCCAATCCAACCCATGATCTTCGAAATTACTTGCTATTCATCAGAGAGCGGGACAGTGACTAAGGATGACAGCAGAAAAATAGATGCCTTCGAGTTGTGGTGCTGGAGAAGAGTCTTGAACATAGTATGGACTGCAAAGAAAACAAATAGGTCTGTCTTGGAGAGGGTGACACCAAGTTTCCCCTTGAGGGCTAGGATTTTGATGCTCCATCTCACACACTTTTGGCACATGGCCAGGAGGGACCAATCCTTGAAGAAGGACATCATGCTCGGAAGCATAGAGGGATAGCACAGGAGAGGAAGACTCTGGATGAGAAGGATTGATACAGTAGCTAGGGCAGTGGGGATAGGTGTATCAGAGTCAGTGAAACTGGCTCAGGACAGAGTAGGCTTCAGAGCTGTTGTACATAAGGCTGCTATGAGTTACAGGCAACTTCACAGCACATAACAACATGAATTATAATCAATTCTATGGCACATAACCACAATAATAATTTACACAGAAACCAAATGACTCTGGGAGCTCTGGTGGCTTAGGGGTAAGCAGTTGTGCTGCATATCCAAAGGCATGTTGTTTGAATCCACCAGCTGATCCATAGAAGAAAGCTGGGAAACTTCCTCCTGTGTGATATCCTGTCCCTGAAAATCCACTAGAAGATCAGCTATGAGTCGATTCCAACTCAACAATTTGTTACAACAACAACAACAACAAATGACTCTGATTTTAAACTCTCATATAAGATAAATAAAAATCATTAATAACCAAAATGACATTTAACATCTTTATTGATAGTGATTTTATGAAATAGTCTAAGTACAGAGTCTTCCAAAGTGTATCTTTACAACTTACAACCAAGCTCTTTTCTCAATATTAAAACTTACAAAAGGAGTTTACCTACCTAGAAACATCAGGTACATTACTAGATTCTGAAACAAAAAAATATTTCTAATTCCTCAGTATTAATCTTCTTAAAAACATTAACTGGGGAAATCTGCCAGGTTTAAAAATAAAAGCCACAGGAAATGAAAGAATTACTATATACATTACAACTTGCTTATAGCAAATTACAATGAAAACTATCACGGCATTTTGTTAGGATCTTCTCTATTGAATGAAGGCAAAGAAATCAGACTGTGACAATTATCACATTAATAGACTCACGCTTTACAGGGTTTGATTTCTTTTTTGTTGTAAAACTGCTAGGCTGAGATAATCTTTCATTATATCTTCTCTTGAAATAATCTAAATAGTCATGTTTATGATGTTGTGGACAAGTATTATGGTATTCACTTATTTTGTTAGTCATTTCACAGGTACTAAAATACTAGTTTTGAATATCATAGTAAGGAATTTATCCTTGCATATTCTTATTATATATGTATCTAATAATCACATTTCAGAAATAAGAACATACTAGCTAATATTGACCCAATATTTAGTACACTTTGTGATCAAGCGTCTACTGGCCTTTAAAATGTTAGCTAACTAAGTAAACTAATGGTCTCTTTTTTCTTTTCCTAAACTAAGCAAATATTTTGTTTCTATTTGTAATAAATCTCAAAGTGTGTTCTTACTGTCTTTGGCAAGATAAGAATTATTTAAGTGAAGAGAAATGCTTTTAAACTTTTGCATTCTCTCGTTATTATAAACTCATTAATAGGCTTCTAATTAAATAATTGCAGGGTTTAAGAGATAAGGAGAAGAATCCCATAAAATTACATGAGAGGTAAGCTTGTTTAAAAACAAACAAACAAAAAACAAACAAAAAAATAAAATAAAAAATTAAACAAACAAACAAAAAAACAGCACACAAACACAAAAGAACTGAGCACACAGATTTTCCCGAGCTTGTAAACCTCTGACTGGTAGTTTCACACTGACTCAGCTGATGATAAGAGTATTAATTGCTCATTCCACTGTAATCCTTGACCTTCCACATATTAATCAGATTTTCCCTTATCTAAGAATTCATTGTCTTTATAGCTCAGGTGTACTGATCACAGGACATTTTGTAGCTGCCAGTGTTACCTATGTTTTTGGCATCATGGAAAATTATAACTTTAATACTTAAAATATATTTATTGACTTGAATAAATAGTGTCTCATAATAAAATATTTGGTAAATCTAGGGAAGATATTGTTCAACTTGTGTGGCCTCCTTGGTCCACATGATGTTCCATTATTTGAAGTTCTGAGGAAAATAGCCTTTACTCTGAGAGCACTCCCTCAGCAGGAACTCTATGTCTATCACCACAATGATACAATACCTGGTGCATGTTGAGCAATAATTTGAACAAGTATGGACTCACCAATCACAAGATTTAAAGATGGCGTACTTTTTAGATGTCTGTAAATAAACCCACTGAAGGGTCGGCGATGGGTTGGTTCCAACTCAGTGGCACACAACAATATTATCCTAATATAGACGTTTTAAGAAAATGTGTTTTCTGCCTATATACATTTAAAAATTTACCAATTGCTTAATTTGTTCTGTTTGCAATGACTGTCTCCTTAATAACATTTTATTACTTTTGTATTCTTTAGGAAAAATAGGAACTGTGGGTATGAGCACTTTCTGCCCACAAGCGAGCAGACTAGACATCTTGTTGTTGGTATTGCTATCCAAGCCGGGAGGGTAAGGATTTACATGTAACGGAGGCAGAAACCCGGCCCTGGTTTGAGCAATACTGTGATCTAAAGGGAACGCTCCTGACCCTCGTCTTTCTAAAATGGCATGATTTCTCCTGCCCAGGGGGCCTGGGGCCACGTTCTCCAACACTTCTTTGGACCCTGAGAGCAAAGAAGCTGATGGTGAGAGGATCTTTTTCTTTCCTCCAAGTGTTTTGGTGTCTTCTAAAGTCATAGGCGTAAGACTAGCTGCGAGCTGAGAATCAGAGCTATAGTGGTTGGCACCCGAATTTCTTTTCTGAACTATACTTCTTAAGGTGGAAGTAAATATTGCCTGGTTAGTTTCTGGGTCCTGGTCAACAGGGAACTCAATCCCCTGATTTCCTTCTGAGAATGACGACTGAGAATTTATTTCATCATATGACATCTTTCTCGAATCAGTCTGATCAAAGGCCCTTAACAAATGTGCAGTGTCTTTAACATCAATGCTTTGGTGTCTTGTGATGAATCGCTTAGAAAGTGCCAGCCCATTGGTTCTGTAGGATAATTCTTCCTCTGGGGTGATATCCTGGAGCTCCTCTTGCAAAGAGGCCACTCTGTTCTGAAGCATTAAGGAGGGGGTATTCTTGATCCAGGGCGAAGCCTGGGGCAGCTTGGGCCCATTTGGGGTGATAGCAGGCTTCCACACAGGCGAGCCTGGTTCCCAGGTTTCATCGCTGCTCCCAGAGGCCTCCAGATCGTTAAAGTCAAAAGGAGTCATTTCTGATTCAGAATGCGGCAGTGGTGACGAGGCTGTGCTTATGTCTATTTCTGAAGGCGTAGCACAGGTAGCCAGGAAATTACTCTCATCTACATCCGTAGGAGGCATATTCAAATACTGTTTGGTAGTGTGCTTCCCAGAGGGCGATTTTGCGGTCGTTATGATAATGACATCTTTCCCTTTTGCTTTGCAAGCACGAAGCAGAACTTTGAGTGTCTCTCTGTCTTCTGAATTTATAGCATAAACAAGCGCTGAGTAACTGGAATGGTCTAGCAAGGTGAGGTCCGCCCCGTTCTTTAGAAGCAACGAAACAACTTCAGGACCTGCTTTTTCTAAGCAAGCATGCATGAGAGCAGTTTTGCCAGATTTGTCCTGTATGTTGGGGTCAGCATTGTTTTCTAACAGGTATTTCACCATTTTGGCTTTACTGACGCTCTGGTGATCAACATGTTTGCTCTTGCAAGCAATCATCAGCGGTGTTTCCCCACGATCATTGCTCTCATTAATGTAGGCGCCTCCTTCTAGCAAGAGTCTTGTGAGGCGAAGCCGGCTCTGATGGACGGCTTTGATCAGGGAGTTCCCATCGATGGAAATCTCTATCCCTTCATCCATCTTCAAAAGTCAGAAATCAATACCTGGTCACCAGAGAAGATGAAGACCAAAAGGTTAGCCAGAGTCAGCAACATTTTGCTATTCACAGCTGATTTCTAAACTATGTATCAGAGAAAAACAAGTCTCTTTAAAGGACTTACATAAAGTTACGCTATTTAAGTACAGAGAAAACAGTGACTTGCAAAATAGAAGAAATTTTAGCGTAGCAATATCCTATAGGGAATTATGAATCAAAACTCGTTTTCAAAATCTTCATTGAATATTTGTGATATAACTAATATAAATCTCTAAATCTCACATTAATTCAATAATAATCCATTTATTTTTGTACTTATAAAAATAATTTAAAAATTAGTAATATTGAAGGTAATATGAAACAAAATCCAAAATTCGTTGTAACTGAAACTCAATCCATTAAAAGCTAAAATTTTTATGTAAATATGAAAGCTTCAGTACTGAATTACAGTACTTAAATAAATGTGCTCTTCAATTAAATAACAGAACCAATATCTACATTTTCATTTTAAAATAGGAAAGAATTAAAAATTATTTTGACTATTTTGTTGTTATTAGGTGCAATTTCCACTCACAGTGACACTATGTAGCAGAGCAGACCGGTAGGGTCTTCTAAGCTGAGCTCTTTATAGAAGACTGCTAAGACTTTCTCCTGTGGAGCCACTGGGTGAATTTTGAACCACTTACCTTTCAAATGAAAGCCAAGTGTTTAACTGTTGTACCATCAGAGCTCCTAAAGAGTTACATTAATCCACTATTGTCAAGTCAGTTCCAACTCAAGGTATCTAGGGCAGAGCAGAACCCCCCTCATTGGCTTCCAAAGCTGTAATCTTTACCAAACCAGGCTGCCACATCTTTCTCTGGCACAGTGACTAGCAGGCTGGAATGACTGTCCTTTACCCAGAATGCCTAAAGAGTTATATTAGGAATTTTTTGAAGACATAAGCAGTTCCTGTAGTATTGTCAATATTTTTCACTGTAAATACCACTAGGAGGCACTGGTGGTGCAGTCTGTAGTGAGTTAATCTCTGTTAATCCAGAGATCTAAATCCGCCATCAGATTCACAGGAGAAAGATGGGCAGTCTCTACCTATTATGATTTACAATGCTGAGAACTAACTAATGGAGGGTCTCTGACTTGATAGCAGTGAGTTTGAGGTTGTTTGTGCTAATACAGCTCTGGTGGCCTAGAGCCTCGTGGTAAGAAATTAAGCTGCAATCCCAAAGGCACGTGGTTCAAATCTACCAGCTGCTTCTCAGGAAAAAAAAGATAAGCAATCTCCCCATACGCTATTAACTGTCTCTGAAAACCCGTTAGAGGGTCAGCTATGAGTCGCTTCTGACTCAAAGGTACAAAATAATTCATGCTAAGAGATCCAATTGGAATTTCAAGAGTAAATTCCTGAGAGCACACCTTCAAGAGAAAATAGTTATTTGTTTCCACTTACTATCGTTCCAAGAGCACCAACTCAATATATCTATAAATAAACACAGTGAGAGTGAATGTCTAGGTTTTAGGTCGATGTTTTACAAAAAGCTAATCCAGAATGAGGCATACCTGCAACCAGAAACTGAAAGAGGAGCGCACGTGAGGACTGGCTGACGGGCTGGCTTCTGATCCAGAAATCAATTCTGATTCAAGACATCTGAAAAGAGCTCATGTGAGAGGGAGATTCCAAAATAAAAGAGGTCTTTCAACATTTTTCTTATACAAATACACTTTTTATAACAAAGATATTTATAGAAATGAGCTGGCCTCAAGGACAAATACGGTATAAAACCAGTATGAGGATCCAAAGTAGGGGAGAGGGTGGAAATAGAGGGGTGAGGATGGGGCGGACGGGGTGTAGGGTGTTAATCATAGGGTTGCACAATTCGATGGGTGGATGGGGTGAAGGAAATGGGAAGGATCTTTTTGAAAAACAATGTATTCAAACTTTGTAAAGAAATCAGAATAAAATAAAAAAAAGAAATGAGCTGCTCATGTCTTTCATTCATAGGGTCGCTATAAGTCATCTATGACTTGATGGCACTTAACACCACCACCAGCAACATAGAGAGAGCTCTGTGGGCCTTGTGAATAGAAAGTTTAAGCTACCAAGCCAAAGGTGGGTGATTTTAATCTGCGGCCCTCATGCCTGGTTTGAATTGTTTTTGGTCAGACATTCTCTAAGTGGTATAGAACTGGTCTGTACATTTGCTGTACAGAGGTAACTCATGGTTGCTCTGATGCTAAACACTGACACTGATGTGTCAAATGTGATAATGGTTACCCATGATGGACAGTGTTTGGTGGAGCTTCCCAATTAAAACAAGCTTGGCAGCAGGAATGGCATTCACTTCCGAAATGGCTTGCCTCTGGAAACTCTATGAACTTGGAGAAACAATGGAAGCTATACAAGTGTTTAGGCCTTTCGTTCATAGGGTCACCAGAAGTGGTCTACAACTCGACAGCCCTTAACAACAACAACAATATTATCAAGTATGGAAACCACTTAGTAACTACAATTAAAAAAGGTATGAGATCAATTTTTTTTAGTTTCTTATGTAAATGTATTTATTTTTTTAAAAATTATCATTAATTTCAGTGAAAATGTAGAGACTTTGGATTTCCATTCATTCATTGTTGCAAAGATAAATTTTTAAAAAAGAAAAAAAAACACACAAAAAAGCATTTGACCCAAAGTAGCATTTAAGATATTCAAATGAGAGGACAAGATCAGATTTCAATATTACACTGACTCTAGCAAATAAGAGAGGGTACTGACTTGGCAAGGCCATGTTTCTCAGAACTGTGTCCTCCTAAGATCCCCCAACGAGATGGACTGACACTGTGTCAGAGATGAGGATGGCACGGGATAGGGCAGGTCTCAGGACGCCCCACCGGGTCACTATGAGTTGTACTTGACTCAATGGCACCTAACAAAAACAACAATGTAGCCTATAGGAGGGAGCTCCAGTGCCCTCGTGGTAAGAAGCAGCACTGCAATCCCTAAAGCACGTGGTTCAAATCCACCGACTGCTCCACGGGAGTAAGATGGGCAATCTCCTCCTGTGAGATTTAACTGCCTCTGAAAACCTGCTGGAGTGTCAACTATGGATTGGTTCTGACTCTATGGTACACAGCAGTAACAACATGTGTTGTACAACCTATGATATGAATAAGGATAACAGAAGAACTGGCGCCTTTGAGCTGCGGTGTTAGAGAAAAACACTAAATAGCCCATAGAGACTTCCAAAAGAACAAACAGATATGTCTTGGAAAAAGTACAGCCAGAGTGCTCCTTGGAGGCAAAGATGACAAAGCTTCGTCTCACATGCTTTAGGTATGTTGTGAGGAACAACATACATGGTTAGTGGAGGGCTGGTCAAAGAGATGACAACCTTCAACCAGATAGACTGACACAGTGCTGCGACGGGCAACGGGCGTAGGTCAAGATGATAGGGATGGTACAGGGCAGGACAGCCATTCACAGGGTTTTCTGTTGTTTGTAGGATTGCTATGAGTCATACTTGACTCAATGGCAACAACAATGTGTTGTAAATCTTAATGTCTATGATGCTAATGAGGTAAAATTAGAGGTAGTTATGAGATGATATCATCATGTCATGATATTGTCTGAGATATGATCAGCCCATCAGTTAAAGTGTCATGAATTCAACTATATCACCGAAATATACATGTTTAGACTTAATAATGTGGCAACTATGTAATAATTCCCCATAATCTGATCAACAAAAAGGTGTGGGAAGATTAAGAGTGGAATAAAGTACTCCTTAATCACCTCACAGAAGCTCTGGTGGCCTAGTGGTATGGAGTTGCACTGCCAAATCCAAAGACAGAAGGTTCAAGTACACCAGCTGCTCCCTGGAAGAAAGATGAGCAATCTCCTCCTGCATGATTTGTTGTTGTTGTTATGTGCCATCGTGTCACTTGTGACTCACAGCGACCCTATGTACAACAGTCCTAAACTCTACTCTGTCCTGTGCCAATTGCACTGTCTCCTATACACCCATCCCGATTACTCCAGTCACTGAATCAATCCACCTCATAGAGGGCCTTCCCCTCCTGCGCTGTCCCTCCACCCTTCCAACATGTCCAAAAGTATGTTAGATGAAGCCTCAGAATCCTTGCCTCCAAGGAGCCGCCCAGTTTAACCCTCTCCAAGATGAATCTGTTTGTTTTCCTAGCAGTCCACGGTACCCTCAACACTTTTCTCCAGCACCATAACTCAAAGACATCAATTCTCCTTCTATCCTCCCTCGTCATTGTCCAACACTCTGAGGCATAACAAGTGACTGCAAAGACCATGGCCTGTATCAGATGCATCTTAGTCTCCAGAGAGACGCCATTGCTCTTCAGTAGTTTGGAAAGGTCCCTAACAGCAGACTTACCCATCGCAATATGTCTTTTAATTTCCTGGCTACTGGTGCCAAGAGTGTGTGGAGCCAAGCAAACTAAAGCTGTGAACAATCTCAATCTCTTCACCATCCATCCTGATGCTGCCAATTGGTCCAGTGGTGAGAATCTTTGTCTCCTTCACATTGACTTGGACCCCAAGAGGCAGTCATCAGAACAGAGCAAGGAAACACTGCATGGTTCAAAATTGGGAAGGGCGTATGCCAGGGATATGTCCTGTCTCCATACCTTTTCAACCTATATGCAGAACAGATTATCTGGGAGTCTGGACTCTATGAGGAGAAATGTGGGGTCAAGATTGGTGGAAGATCTATTAACAATCTGCATTATGCAGATGACACAACTCTGCTTGCTGAAACTGAAGAAGAAGACCTGAAGTGCTTGCTGCAAAGGGTCAAGGACTGCAGCCTCCAATATGGACTGAGACTCAATGTCAAGAAGACAAAGATTCTCACCACTGGACTGCGTGATTTACAGCCTCTGAAAACCCACAGGAGGGTCAGCCATGAGTCAGTTCTGACTAGATGACAATGAGTAAGCATGTGAATGTGTAAACGTACCAAAG